GGCTAACTTTATCTGGAAATCCTTACCTTGGGAGGGACTAGGGAGCATTGAGTGAGTAACGACAAACTACTGCATCATCGCCTTGATAAGGTTTGAGGTTGGAGTCTGTTTGCAGGCTAGGTGCAATTTTTGACCAAACACAACCATCAATGTTTTTGTGTAACGCTATGTTTTCAGATTCAGACCGGATATTGACTCGGTCGAGTTCAGGGTTAGGGATGAATGGATTCGATTAGAATTGAATCGGATGACATTATAAATAAAATTATTTAAAAATTAAAATATTGTATGTAAAATATCTAAGAGCATGTTTATATTAATAAAGATATATTCATATATATTTGATGTTTCAAATATATTTAACAAAAAAAATATTTAAAAAAAATTAGAATGATCAAGTAGCAATTCATATTATTCAATGAACATTAACAAGTTTAGAACTAAAATTATGGACTTGATTGAAAAATAACACCAAACTTTAGGATACCATTTTATAAAGTATGAAATATTTGAGGTATAGTAATAATTTTTAACAACCTAATCGTCAAAACATAATATTAAAAATGCTTTGACCTTTAAAAAAAAAAAAAACTTTGACACCAAACCGGTTCTTCCGGTCAAATCTAGTCAAACCTGGTTAAACCCGACTTTTTACCTGATTTGACCGAGTTTCTATCTATTCGGTTTTTTATAATAATTCGGACCGGACATTTGGTTGGTTTTCGGTTCGACTGATCGGACCGGCTAGTCCTATTCGAGTTTAAAAACATAGGTGTAATGTACGAAGCGATATATAATAAGAAATTGGGGCAAGTGCAATTGGTTTTAGGCGCAATTGATGCTATTGTTATGCTCTTTTACAATTTAGCGTACACTCTCATATAATTTTATTGTTTTTTATGAGTTGGCGTACGCTTCTGTAACTAACTTTTGTTGTATTTTATGAAATATAATATAATTATATGAGTGTATATCAAATTATGAAAAAATATAATATATATTTTTTACAATTTAGCGTACACTCTCATATAATTTTATTGTATTTTATGAGTTGATATACACTTCTATAACTTTGACTGTACTTCGTGAAATATAACAAAGTTATGTTAGTATACATCAAATTATAATAAAAAAGTACATAGTATTAACTGCGTCTAAAGCCAACCTTACCTGCCCCAAACTAGTTGAAGAGACTAGTCGGCGTTGGAGCGGTACGGGCACCAGGCTGTAGTTTAGAACCTAAGGTCCCTCGTGTTGAGGTTGTTGCCATAATTTACACTCTTTTCACAAGATTGAATTGAACTCCACACCCAAATCCACCTACCCCGCTGCAACTGCAACAATGGGACTATTTCCGGGCTGGAAAAAAAAAATTTTCCAAGTGCTTTTTATTTTTTACATGAAATAAGAAAATGAATTTGTTTGCATATCAAAATTATTTCAAATATTATTTTGCATGTATCATAAATATGCTGTATAATCAAGTTGTTGAAGATCAGTTCTGCCAATTGTTATTCCCAGAACTCAATTTAGCTGGTATATCAAAGTTTTCCCTAATATATATACATATTTTGTTGCCCTTTTCTTTCCCTAAATGTGAGCTTAGTTGTTTTCTGGTAAGTCAACTTCATTATCTAGTATAATGTGTTGCATTAATGCATGCAAGCACCTCAAGTCTCTGTCTTGCTTTTCGAATGGACGTCTTTGTCAAAATTCGTGCATTCAGAAGTCATAAACTCGCAACCCACACCACACAAGAAGTGTTATGGTCCATCATTCATAACATAAAATAGTACTGTAGTAGCATCGCACAAGCCTGTGTGGTTGGTCTATATATATATGCATATACCATATATGGGACTATGGAAATGAAAATTATATCACTCCCCGAATCATGACACTACATTAATTGGCTCCCAAATCCGAATGACCAAATTCCCAACGAAACGTTCCAAGAAGAAATTATTAAATGGTAACACAGCAACTTCATGAATTGTCATCCGACCCTGATCAGAACATTTATGAGTTTCTGACATCTTTATTTATATTTGGTGCTTGGTATTGAATGCCAGGGAGGCCCTCATATCCCCGAGTGTTCAATGCCCCAACCCGTCGCTTGTGGAAACCCCTTTTTTTGTTTCTTTTTGGGCTGAATTAATCTGCTTCTTTGTCTTTGTCTAGAATCAAAAGTGATTAGGTGCAACATAAATTCAAAGACCAACGAAGCATTTATGGGTTCCCATAGCAAAAGAGGTCCCCCAGTCCCAACTACCACCCCAGACAACGTTATAATCGTTACTAATTAGATACTAGTGCTATAGTTGTCCGTCCCTGTGCATGGATCTCCAACCTATTACTATTACTAATATTAGCACGAGTCCTTTCGCTCTCAGCCCCACATTGCACCTCCCTTTCCAGTAGGTGACCGCATTAAAACTATCAGACTCTGCATTTCTAACCATTCTCACCTCGTTTAACTGCATATAAATGCATCAGTTAGTTAGCATAGCAAATTGACACATGAATTGAAAAAGTTACTATTAGAGCATACGTCCATTGAATTAGCGAGTAATCAGTAGGAACCCTCATAGACGACTTGTGATTTTCGTCAAGGAATCCTTGGTGCGCTGAAATAATCCTTTGCTGAGTGTTATACTTCCACGTATATTTGATGGAGGTGACTCGTGAACATGTTAAAATTAAAAAAAACTCTTCAAATTTGCAGTTACATCAGGGAAGTAGGTTGGGATGAAAAACTGGTGAATGAGTCCTACCCCTGGGTTGAAAAACAAGTTGTTCACAAGCCAGACCTTGCACCTTGGCAGCAGGCATTAAGGGACAGTCTCCTAGAAGTTGGTATATCCCCGTTTAATGGCTTCACCTATGATCATTTATATGGAACCAAGGTTGGTGGTACCATCTTCGACAGATTCGGCCGCCGTCACACAGCTGCCGAGCTACTTGCCTCTGCCAACCCTGAAAAGCTCAGTGTATTGATACATGCAACTGTTCAGAAAATTGTCTTTGACACAAGGGGTATGTAATTACCAAAAGATCACCGCTTACCGATAATCTGAAGATGTGCAATTGTCACCACTAGCTAGTTATAGTGGCCTTCTTGTAAAAAATCATGATTAAGTGTGTTTGGTACAGGGAAAAGGCCTAGGGCCACCGGAGTCATCTTCAAAGATGAAAAGGGTATCCAACATCGAGCATTCCTATCAAGGGATACGAAGAGTGAAATTATATTGTCCAGTGGAGCGATTGGGAGCCCTCAACTCCTGCTTCTTAGTGGGATCGGACCAAAAGCAGACCTTAAGAAATTTAACATACCTACGGTGCTTAACAATCCATTTGTAGGGAAAGGGATGGCTGATAACCCCCTCAACACAATCTTCATTCCCACCAATGGCCCTGTTCAACAGTCGCTTATACAGACTGTTGGAATTACCAAGATGGGAGTGTACATTGAAGCCAGCAGTGGATTTGGACAGTCCACGGACAGCATTCAGTGCCATCATGGAATCCTTTCAGCTGAGGTGAGTAGTAAAATCAATTTCCATTTGGTATTGGTTTCTCTTGATACATAATGGATGGTTATTGTGATGCTGCCACTGGACCACTGGGCCACTGGGCCAGTGGCCTGTTATTTCTCTTTCATATTGAAGTTAATGTGCTCTGATATTGTCATTACTCAGCTTGGGCAGCTTTCTACAATTCCACCAAAACTAAGAACACAAGAGGCAATTCAAGCATACAGAAAAAGAAAAAGAGACCTTCCACATGAAGTCTTCAAGGGAGGTTTCATTTTAGAAAAGATTGCCAGGCCTTTGTCAACAGGCAAAATTAGCCTGATCAACACCAATGTTGACGACAACCCCTCCATCACCTTCAACTACTTCAGCCATCCTCGTGATTTACAGAAATGTGTCAATGGTATACGCATTATGGAGAAGATTGTAAACTCAAACCGTTTCACCAATATCTCACAGTGCAAGAAAGAAACGATTGAGAAGGTGCTCAATATGAGCGTGCAGGCCAATGTTAACCTCATACCAAAGCAAACAAATGACACCAAGTTCTTGGAGCAGTTCTGTAGAGACACTGTAGTCACAATTTGGCACTACCATGGTGGATGTCACGTCGGCAAGGTGGTAGGTCCTGATTATAAGGTCCTCGGTGTCCAAAGGCTCCGTGTCGTGGATGGTTCAATATTCAGAGATTCTCCAGGCACTAATCCTCAAGCCACAGTGATGATGATGGGAAGGTAATCAAAATATATAGATATGCGAGTATACTCTGTGATTTTTCTACGGGCAAAATACACACCGCATCATAACTGTATCTATCTTTTTGTGTGAATATGACGTTTTAAAGAGCTACTGGAAGCACTTACAACAAGGATTTCATTTTTTGTTTCGTGCAGATACATGGGAGTGAAGATATTAAGAAAAAGATTAGGAAGAGCGGCAGGCATTTAGACTTCTGCACTGTAATCCATTGAAGAGATCAATGAACATTGTTTGTCCACAACGTAATTTTTGTGACTTGTATTTGCTGGTTGGTGTTATATAGATAGAACGGCAATGGTTGCTTCCATTCAATTCAATCCATTGTATGTATTCAGAAGAAGTTTGTGTCATCCTGTCCGTCAACCTTCAGTTGGTTACTTAAGCTTGTTGCCGACTGTTGTTTCATTTCTTGCTTGTTGGCAGTGTACAATATAAAGTATTTCAAGTTAAAAGCTTCATGGTTTTGTGAATTCGACTTGTGAATGTTCCTTCTTGTGCTCAGGGGAAAAAGCAGAAAACCATTTTATTATGTGAAAATTTTTGTTTCCCCTAAAGATCAAAGAGTAAAATGTTGCTTACATATATATAGAGGTGAAACGCAAAGTAAAACTGAAAGTACGTAGTTTCGTAATCAGAAATCTTGTTGGAATAAGAGGAGATCATGAGTCCGTCTGGCTGCCACAAATTTCCTATCACAGACTGGGTGCCTTTTATTGCTGTAATAGGTAATGCAAATATTATACGAGTAATAATAGTGATGAGAATAACCATAGTTAAAAGGATAATAATGGGTATAGTTCAGACGTCTCAGTTACAGAATATCAGGTCCATCAGAAATAGAATATTTATGCAGGTTCAAATAGCCAATGAGGTCTATATACAGGGGATATGATTACACATCTTGGTACTCTTGGATGACAGCTCTATTCAAACTTCAGAGATTTGGATGCCCTCAAAAAAGGATTGTGAAATAGCTCTAAAGCCATGCACTTTCTTGCTCAATAACAGTAACTAAGGTTACAAAGACAAGTGCATGATCTCTTTGCAAAATGACTATGGGGAAACTTATGAGATGTCTTGTCCTGCTTAGCCGAAGATTACTTACAAACTGAACCAGACAAAGTTGCATCTTTTGCTCCGGAATTTTTTCAGACGAAGCTTCCACTGAGTGCCATATGGTGCGGCTACATTTCAATTTTTATTTGGTAATTGCACAAATGGCGGCCACAATATGCACAGCCTTCCATTACTAAATAACAGCCTGATCTTACAGCTCCATATTTTACTGTATGTCTCTTTCTTGCAGATTGCATCTTTAAACCTTTGGGCAACAATAAACTGAATCTGGAAAAAAATTATTGCCTAAATGGGGCCTTTGACTCATCATAGGTAATACTGATTAAAATCCATGCTCACTCATGCTGCCACTGGACAGCCCCCTCAAGCGTTCCCAGAAACGCCTTTTTCTTACCATTTTTAGGGGAGCAGAATTAAATTGTCTCCTAAAAGATCCAGATTCTTGTCTTTCAAAGCCAGCAGGTACAAGATTAGTTGACAACGCTATCTTGTCTTCAAAAGTCGAGTCCACGCCTTCCACTGCATACTCGGCAATAGAAGCTTCGCCTATATCACCTGAAATTCTGCTATGCTTACTATCTATGTCAATAGAAAAGTCATCCTGGCTGCAACTTCTTGACATTAATCCTCTTGTTTCATCAAACTCATCACAGACAAGCTTCAATGCTTGAACAACTTCTCCCATAAATGGACGATGAGATACTTCAGGTTGCACACACATGGATGCAATTGCAGCAAATTTGGCAACACTATCATATGAAGCGTTTGGCTTTAGAGTAGGGTCTATAATTGTTTCCAAACCTTCGTTGGTTGTGAGAAGCGGACGAGCCCAAGCAACAAGATTTTCTTGGCCTGGGGGTTGTGATAAATCCACAGGCTTTCGCCCAGTTAAGAGCTCAAGGAGCACTACACCATAGCTGTAGACGTCACTCTTCACTAGGAGATGACCAGTCATTGCATACTCAGGAGCAAGATAACTGCAACAGAGGAAGTTCATCCATTAATGGATCATGATTACAGAAAAAAAAACATAAAAAGAATTATAGAGGAAAAGCATTAAGTAATCATTTACAGCAGGAGAAAATAGCTAGACCAAATTGAATTCGAAAACAGTATCAGTTTCAATATTAGGCCATGTGATTCGTCTTTAGGTTAAGCTTAACGAAGCACAAGCAATAGGTTCAACATTACATGCCGCAAGTCCTATTTTCAGTGTAAGTATCATAATTTCTGTTCTTGGCCAATTTTGAACCAGATCTCTGCCAAAGCACGCCACAACTTCAAGCTGATTATTTTGCTTATTTTCTTGTGAATTGTTGTTATGGCTACAAAAACGCTTTCTAAACCCACCATAGAGAAGTAAAAGCAGCATAAAAGTACAAGGCAATAAGTCTGACATAAAGCATACCCAAAAGTTCCCATGACATGAGTTGAAATATGTTTGCTTCTCTCATCCAATGCTGTTCTAGCCAAGCCAAAGTCCGAAACTTTTGCTGTAAAATCGTGTTCTAAGAGAATGTTGCTTGATTTGAAGTCTCTATGTATTACACGTGGACTCGAGTCCTCGTGCAGATAGGCCAGACCACGTGCTGCTCCAAGAGCAATCTTCATTCGAGCACACCAATCAAGAGGACTTGCCTCGTTTTCAAGTCCTGAGAGCAGAAAGAATACGATGATCAAGAACCGAAATGAAAGTCACTTTAATAGACCTCGTATTTTTACCTCCTGATATCCTTCCCTTCCAAAACAAAAACAAAAATAATAAGAATTGAATGCTCAGACTTGATTAAGACTCCACGAGGCACGAACCATGTAAATGCGACTCCACACTTCCATTTGGGACCAATTCATAGACCAGGCATCGAGAATGGGCCTCCGTGCAGATACCTATCAATTTGACCAAGTTTCGATGGTGCAGCCGGCTGAGCATTTCAACTTCTGCCAAAAACTCACGGCTTCCTTGCCGATCATCCCTCTTTAAAACCTTCACTGCTACCTTCCTTCCATCATCAAGAATGCCACTGTATACAATTCCAAAACCACCTTCACCAATTACTCTTGAAGCGTGAAAGTTTTCGGTGGCTCTCCCTATGTCAGTCATACTGAATATCTTGGCAGTTCCAGTATATTGCAAGACACTAGAACTGAATGACATTGAATCTGAGGTGGGCTTGCTTTCAAGCATCAAGGACCCGTCTACACCTGCCAAAATGTTGTACAGAGTATGTAGATGCAACACAAGCCAAGACCTGAGAACTGCCTATTCTGCTTCTAGTCAATCTACAATCTAGACAGAAAGCCATAGATAACAGTGGAATCTAATAGAGGTCAAGTTGCTGGAATTCAAGAGTGATGCATGAAAAAATCTAGAACAGGAAATGGTGAGCCAGCAAATGTGGAGCTCCCACAGCAAGGTTTCATAACTTTCATGTATACTTAACATGGCAAGCCAAGACTGAGTACGGGGAGTAAGTTACAGGTAAGTTATGCAAGTAGAAATCAAGCCTGAACATAATTCAACTTATTTGATGAGACAAGGACACACTAAGGTAGAAGCAACAAAAAAGAACAGAACAATACATCACAACCATTTGTACCAAACGAAGAATTCAGATACTAGTTATTATTTTACCAGATAAACTGGACAAGCAAGCTGAATGAGGTGATAATAGAAGATGTTGATACCTGCTGGATTTACGTGAGTTGTTATTAGAAGATTTGGATCGTTGTCAGTTTCATATGTGCAGTAGCCACATTTTAACAACAAAAGCCAGATAAGTCCCATGCACACAACAACAGTTGTGGTACAAGATAGAACAATTACAATGACCACATTTCTACTAATCCTGTTCTTTCTTCTCCTCGGCACATCCACTCCAAGAGGCTTGATTGCCATCCCATCATTATCTATCCCATGATTTGGTTGGTCATTGATAGTAGCACTTGCTGAGGTCAATGAAGGTGGAGAGGGAGGTAGACCTGCAAAAGCATGATTTCTCAGATTCCACAAAGCACACATCTAAGTGGCCTAGATCAAATGCAAAAATGGAGTGAGACCTGCATGATAAGAAGGAATAATAACTAGAATAGAAGAATTAGAAAAAATTTCAGGTTGATTACTTACCCAAAAATGTAATTTGCCCTTGACAGCCCAGAAATTTCAGAAAAATAGATAGTAGGCATACAACAACGACAAAGAAAGGGAACAACAATGGAACAGAAAAAGTTTCAATCTAGGCATGATAAAAGTATAATAGCAATCCTGTAGCTAGCAATGGAATTATGCATGTAATTGACACTCTTTAGTAGATCCTTATGCACGACATCCACTATTGTCAGCCTTTACCTTTCCATTGCTGAAGTTACAGGTCATAGTACATTGGTTCTAAACACTGCTAAAACTAGTACTATGGTTTTGGGGAGATTTCATGAACTATTGGCTTGCTTCTCTAAGTATTGGAGTCCCCTCTTTCTAGCAACAAAATTGTTGAGATGAAATCACCTGTTTTCATAAGTATAGGGTTTGAAGTTGTTAATGGAGGCAGGAAGCACAATAATGGCTTGAAGAATATCATATAATACCACCATATGAGTAAATTTTGCAGCACTTATAAGCAGAAATGACTGATAATGTTAACCACCTGGGTAGTGGACGTATAACACCTCGTACTTGCCAAAGAGCGAAGTCTGCACAAAAATCTCTCTCTGCCAGAACTTTCTATAGATTGAAAATGCAGTAGTGGCATCAAATTGCTCATCTTCAGGTACCAAATTGATGAGGACAATCGTTTTCTCTAATTGCTGGTTCACTGCATTTGCTCCCATGATCCGCACTTGGCTTCGATTCAAAGAAAGACCGGCAGAAATTTCCTTAGCAAGCTCGGAAACCAAGGGGAAAAATGTATATAGCGTAACACTGAGACGGAGGCTAACTTCAACAGGCCAAACACAGCCACAAGGTGATCCAGCAGGTGCATACGTCAATGGCTCAGTGCATGTCAGTGACGAACAGTCTAAAAAGTTTCAAAATTGAATAGTTTTTCAGAGGACCGTTAGAAGAACTAGCAAAAACCTGAAGGACATATACATACCGTGATTAGGAGGTGGAGGAGGGAGTGTCAAAATTGGAGATGGTGATGGAGCCTTTATGGTCTTTCTTGTTGAAGAACTTGAGGGAGAGATTATAGGTCTAGGTCTTGGCACTTGTAGAGAAAATGCATGATCAAATTAGCAAAATATTTGTTAATAATGCATCAATGTAGAACCACATGAATGTGTAAGGACCAAAATCAATATTCACATACTTCTAAGTTGACTCGCTGGTATTGCTGGTGATGGCACAAGTGCTGGTGCACCCTTGCCCTCTGCTGACGGAAGAGGAGGCTGAGACGGGGAGACTGCATGCCATGTATCTAACAGAACAGAAAAAAAAACTAGCATAATTACAGGTTCTTTGGTGCATATTTTCAAATCAGACAACATAAATTTTGTTTGACCCTAGCAAGACTGCAAGGCCCTTGTGCTGCGAGCTTTACCGAGAGAGGAGAAGAGGTCAAGGTCATTTTAACCTACCTTTCGGACTAGATGCCAGTGGAGAAAGCTGATCATATGGTTCACGAGGAAATTTGCTGAACCTGTTTCTCTTCCAGTGGTTTCTATGAAATGAGGCTGTCGGTGAAGAAACATAACCATTCGTTGGTTTCTTAAAATGGTGTCTGTGTGAAGTTGCATTGAAGTGTTTGTGTTGATTGAGCACTGCAAATGAAAAATTAAAGTATTGCAGATGTCATGAAAAATTGGTTTTCCTAGTTCTCGAGTTAGCATTGAAAATGAATTTAAGCAAGTACCAGTTCTTGGAGGGTAATAAACATGTGCTGGATAGCTGAAGGCTTTAGATTGAGGTGCTGCAGAAAGACCTCCATGCCTCTTTTGGCCAATGGTTGGAAAAGTTAATGTTGGCTGGGGAAGTGGTGCTGAAACATTACATTAGCAAAAGCAATATGACAAGCTATATTATACTATCCACAAGTGCGAATGCAAGTGGTTTCTGCAGCTTTACAAATGTGGATCACTTAAGCCCTCCTTCATGAATCGGGAGTCTCCTCCCTTCTCTTTTCGTGCAACAAGACCAGAATAAGCCAGCTGATCGAGCTGTTATGCCTACTTCTAGAACGACAGTGTAATGGTAGAGTTTTCGAATCAAGCATTTTTACTAAACTATTAACTTGTACAATGATGGTAGTAACTAATAAGATCAACTCTCTATAAACCATCGGACCACCAGAATGCCAAACGAATGCATTGCTAATAAGTTTATATTTCAAAGAATGTAGCACTGTTCTCTGTTATTCTTGAGATAATACGAGAGTTTTATTGGTCCATTCCAGCTAATGAATTGAGATTGTACGTTAGTTAAGCTGAGAAATGACTGAAAAACTTTATCAAAGATATCAACTCCAAACAACATTGACAAGCACGAGTCTTTCTGCATAATTGTAGACAGCTAATATTTAGCCTGAAAATCATGATTGGCGCACTGGTAATCGCCAAAAGGATGAAATAAATTAAGGGCTAAAAAGAATTACACGGATCAAAAGGGAAATTTCAGAAAAAACTGATCTAGAAAAACACTCTCACTAAAAGCAAATCATTACCTGCAGATCCTTGAACTGGCAATGGGCTGAGAATTATGAAATAACTGAGCGACATGAAAGCCAAAAGCATCCCCATTTAGCTCAAGAAAGAGTCCAGTAAGTTCAAGCATCAAGAACTTTCTTTTATCTCAGCCAACAATTTCAGAATTTAAAGAAACAATAATTCATTTTTCTAATACACTGAAAGGCTACATGTGGTGTAGCTCAGATTAAGGTACAAGACACTGACTGTACTTGGAGACCCACGGATGGTACTGGTGAAGTAATGAGAAGAAGGTGAGGCAGTGGAAACATTGGAACAGAGTTAGGTGGAGCTCCAAAGAACCCCCAGAATTACTAGCTGTTTTTCTGTTTACTGTTGATTGAGACTAAGCTCTCAGAGATTCAATACTGATTGTGGTAATGAAATGTTATCAGTTTACATAAGTCACTTAAACAATACTAAAACTGATCAAACAAAAAAGCAGATGCTGCAGAAACAGTAAAAGACTTGCAGATGCCATGTACAGCCTCTACAATGTAAAGAAAAGTCTGGTGGGGTTGAAAGAAGACATCCAATGGAGAGAATATATAATAAAAAGGAAATATTGAAACTGGTCAGTTTATGGATTTAATCCAGGTGGACTTGCCTAACACCTCTTCCAGTAATTGCACTTTATGATCATCGCTGCAATTGAGATTACAAACACTAAAACGTATATTCCTATATAATATTGCTTTACCAACTTGAAAAGTTGCGCTTAAACTCAAAGGTCAAAGTTCCTTCAGAGAAAAAAAAAAAAAAAAAAAGCTCAAAGGTCAAAGTTAGAACTACTACCAAGGTATATCTCTTTTTTGAGTTTTTCAAAACACGCTGCTTATTCTTGCATAGAGTAATATAGGCAAATTACATGATATGCCACCACCCTTTGGATGCTGGGCGAGATCACAAATCAGATCAGAAGGACAAGTCTCAATTGGATGCTGGGCTTTATTTCTTCCCGTTTCTCATTAAATCACAGGTTAATTCAACATTTCCATATTCACATCTATTTGAAGAGCATGACCAACAACAATCACAACTTTTTTTTTTATCGAAATGTTAAATTAATTTTATTCATTGTAACAGAAATTTACGTGTGTGCGAGCAAAGGCTCGAAGAGCGGTAACAGTGAGACACTGACTCAAGAATAGTACAGCTTTGAATTTATGCTAGGACGACAGACATGTACAATCTGCCGTTGGGCCTTCATATCCTAGCCATTGAATTGGCTATAAATGTTTCACATCACCTAGCATTTTATATGTAAAATTGAATACCAAACTAGTATATAATGCTGAGTGTGTAGACAACTGTAGGAACGACAGATACAGAATGATTCTAGTGGGCATTATGGGATGGAAAAAAATGGTTATTATAACTCAATCAAGGTTGAATTTTTGTTGCAGAGTGGATTTTGGACTGTCCCACCTGCCACTCTTGAACAGGATGGTGCCTTGGTTTAGGTAGTTGATCTTGATTTTGGAATGTGGTGTTGGACACCACAGGGCTGCGTCAGGACAAAATGAGGCTGACACGGGGGTCTCAAGCATGGCGTCGGTGTAATTGGCAAACTGCTGGTGATAATTATTCGAAATAATATAATATTTTTTTAATAAAATATAATTTTATGTGAATTGCTTAGTAAAATTTCACAATAAAGACGTAATTATTACATATAGAATCCACGTGAACATTAACAGAATATCACACCTCTGCTGTAAGAATGTACAATAAATTTTCTTATCCTATATAAGACTGAGTTTTGATAAAAAAAATGAATGAAATTTCAACCACATGAATATGAACTTTTGAGAAATGTGGGATTTTTGTAAAGCTTTTGGGTACAACTTAGGCCAGCATGTGTTTGAGTATGTTTACTAAAATGTCTTCATTACGGTACATTAAAATCTTTGATTTATGGAGACTTATTGATATTTTTGGATTGGGAACTTATTTTGAAATCTTTTTTGCACCACGTACAAAATACACAAACACATGCAAACCACACGACACGTGGCATCTAGATTTTGCCATGAAAAATCTATCCATTATCTATCCATGCAATCTCCTTTTAGGGTCTGTCTAAATTTAGATATGTTTTCGTTCTTATTATCTTTTTTTCACTTTTTATTGTCCGTACAAATACTATCTAGATTTTGCCTAGGCTTATTTCCTCCATTTTTAAATTATTTCTTCAACTTTGGACGGATTGTTTACCTGAGCTAAAAGGAGGTCACATGGCATCTGATAACTGTTAAGTTTATAAGATAGAGAATTGACAAGTTTAAACCTTGGTTTTTAATAGGAGTTTGTTTCTGTTGAAAATGAAAACATTTTCTGGAAGTGGGAGGATTATGGATTTTGTGATGTCACAGATTCTTTATTAACTGATTCTTTTTAAGGTGCGAGATAGGTTATATGATACACTTTGCTTTTTTTTTTTTTTCTTTTCACATGCATAATTTCAAACATGAATTGTCATATTTCATGACTATTTCTTATCAATTTATCTATCTAAACACCGGTACCAAGCACTCGTGCGATACGCCGCGTGCACTTTCCTTTTAGCATATAGAATTACAAAACGTACAAAAAAAAATTACATTATTTTTCAGAGACAGTTGATCTGACAGCTGCCCTGCCCCGCATAGGTGTAACTGAGCACGTGTTGAACTGAATTGGGTATCTTTCTGGCAATTTTGGCTGAGCCAGTTTCAGTTATTGCGTAGTTCTCCTCCTATCCTAGAATTTACACTGACAACCTTTTTGTCGATTTGTATTCTTTCTAGGGTCACTTTTCCCGAAGAGTATTATTGAGCAGAAGAAATTGTCGAGTGCATCATAAGAATTTTAGTGCATTTAAGCGTAATACACGCGCCCCAAAATACATTTTGTTTACCATGGTATTTGCTAGATCAAACAAACAATAGTAGCATTCCATCCAAATTTGAGAGGATGCCCTTTTGTTATCCTTCCAAGGATCTCGGACTTCAAAATGCATTAATCGTGTCAATTTAACTGAAAAATGTCGATTTAGTCCTTATTTGCTCTCTTTTACGATTTCATTCCAATGCTGGATCCGAATCTTTTTCTCCATAATTTTTTATCCGATTTCATTATTATTATTTTGGGTGGAAATGGAAATGAAAAACTTCTCTTCTAATAATGGGCCATTTCAATCTTTCCTTTTCTTTTGTTCTTTTGACATTTGGAGGACTCCAGGCCGTGCAAGGTAATGGCAGACTGCCTCTCAGCACTCAGCAGTGAGCAGGTTAGGGGATTTAACCCGGGCAAGCAAACATGGGTTCAGTTGATCCTTCTGCTTGGGGCCACAATTTGGATTGATCCGATTTTTAAAGATTCAATAGTCCAAATTGTACCGCACAATTTGATGAAATAATAAAGTACAATCTGAACTATTGAATCTTTAAAGATCGGAACTACTCAATTGTGAGCCTTCGGTTGGTTCTGTCCAATTGGTATGTACTGCAGTCTAACTTGAACAGAATCACTTGAGGTCCAGCACATATTGGGCTCACTTACTGGTTTCCTCAAAAAGCACTTAAGCCTACTGTCTAATGTCCAGTCCTTAACCTAAAATCTTAATGCGTTTGCAGGTCCAGACCCATACTTAGTGCTGAAAAACGGACACCTGTTCCACTTGGGAGACCAGAATAAAGTAGATTCGATTTTGCCTGTTACATGATGAGGGAAAGGCTAATTCCATCTATTATTGTCCAAAAAATAAAAAAACGAAACTATATTATTCTGACACGGGTATGGTTTCGGCTTGCAAGGCCACAGTTTTCTACTCACTTGGTTTGGTTTCAATGGTTCTTTTTCTTCTTCATCGTCAGCAGAACCCGGGAATTTCGGAAATGGGAAAGTGAATTTCCTCCAAGCTGACCACGAAGGCCATCATATTTAAAAGACGGCTAATTACTGGCAAACAAGGAATCAAAGATGCACGCAAAGGCCATCATATTTTAAAAAAAAAAAAATTTTTGTCAGCTTGGCTGCCGGGCTGACTAACACCGGCAGCCCAGCATTTTTAAAAAAAATTTTCTTCCCTATCAGGTTGAGTAAACTTGGCAGGCATATAATTTCATACCATATCCATGTCAGAACAACATTATTCCGATTTTTTATTTTTTAGACAATAATTGAAGGAATTAGTTATGAGATCGTTGGTTCGACTTTTAAAGTATTCCCTTTCTAGGACGAAGTTTATGAAAAGTGCTAATGGTAATGGTGCATTCATTGTGTCCTAATGCGTTATTTCGGTTTTGAACTTGCAGAAAATGATTTACTTGTACTATAGTCCTGCTTGATGGCAATAAATTATGCAACAAGGTAACCATAATGTGTTTTATGTAGGAAAGAGGAATTCCAATTCTTTCACGATACCTCTCAGGAAAAATCTCGAATTGGATCCCAAATTGACGGGTTAGTGTGAGCTTATCTATGCAGTCATGCACTCTTCGAATAGGAATCCATTTTCTGAAAGATCCTGACTTTCGTACTTTGGTGGGTCTCCAAGATCCTTTCGATGATTATGCAGGGCACAATAGAATGTCGGAATTGCGGTTTGTGACATGCGGTTCAATATTTGTCCAACATGGCAAACCCAAAGTGCTGAGTTATTCAAAATGTACAAGTTGTTATAGAGAAATTCCTTTGCCATCCTATGAAAACCTAAAAAAAAAAAAAAGACAACAGCCTACAATTTAATTTCCAACACACACACATATATATGTATTTTGCTTAGTCAAAGACAAGTTCCTATCATCAACGTCAAAATCAGTATAAAAAGTAAGAAGCCAGTTTGCCAAAAGAACCAATAAGGAGCAAATTGCTGAAATAAGGCTTAAAGTTAAATTTCCAAGCTTAGTTAAAAGACTTCAATTTTCAAGCAATTGGTCCTCAATATATTAAAATTACCTCCCATTGGACCCTTTCTAAGCACACCTGGTCTTTAGATCCAACTAGCACATTTTATACTATCTAAGTTCATTATTGACCGCCCATTTAGGGGGCAGAAACTGGGAGCTGAAAACAGGGTAGACTAATAACTTGAGAATTTTATTGAGTAACTAGGCTTTTTATTTTTTATTATTTTTTTTTGTTTATTTTGGGGGGGGGGGGGTTTGATAGTAAACAACGGGTGTACAAATATCAAAGAATTTATTTTGCTAATTTTGAAAAATGCTGCTCCAAATGCATTTTTCTGGATTTTCTGTAGAAAAATTACTGTAACAATTTAATATATGTGAAATAAAAAGGTGATAGAAAAATATGTTCACGGAAAAACCAAACAATTTTTCTGAGGAAAATCGCAATCCACATACCCATGATCGAAGTCACATTTTGGCAACGCATAAGTAGATTTTTGCCAAAAAAAAAAAAAGGAAAAAGGAAAAAGGAAGACCATTTATTATCTTGACAGTTGACACGCGCTCTAAGATGAACACGGTTTATCTTAGAAAATCAAGAAGAACTGCCTGCCGTATGTAAACACTGGACTGGAGAACCCAAACCACTAAGGCATTATCACGCGGTTGCAATATGAATGGTAAATTATTAGTTAAATAAACAAATGCCTACTATTCATTCAGTCAACAAGGTCGTAGAAATTGCTTGCAAAAGCAAGTTACATGAACAAGAACACTCAGAAATTAGGTCGTGGATGGTGTTGGGTTCCCCTCCAACTTCATTATTAGTAAATCAAATTGTTTGAATCTTTCATCGGATCAGATCAGGTACTTCTCCAATTGCCTACTTCCCTTGCCCAACTTATTGCGTTGGTGCACTTTAAGACGTGAAAAATCACACCACCAAATGGACCCTTCACCATCCCTATCCCACTAATTCTTGCCCCATGCAATATTAAATTTTAGCACATCCTAACGTAGGGACCTTTTTTTTTTTTTTTTTCAAATAATTTTTCCCTGGCACATGAGGAGTAAGAAGATTTAAGACGCAAGGAGAAAGAACGGAGAATTTGAACCCTAACATAGGGACTGTGGTTGACTTGAGCTTAGTTGGATCGATTAAGCTTTGCTTGATCATTTATATGTTTTGAATTTGTCTTTGTTTCGTATTATTGAGACTGATCTCGAGTGCGAATAATTTGTGGATTTCTTGTTTACCATTATACAACATTTTGTACGAATAAGGAGTTATTTTGAAGTTAAGTTTGGTGAATGAAGTAGATTAGTAGCATTAAGTCTTCGGGGCTATGATTTGTTTAGGCCAGAACTATAGCCTGCAAAGCAAAAGATTTTTTTTTATTATTATTGAGTAAATCTTATATATACTGACTGACTAACAGTGCATCTATTGTTACGATTGAATGCATGATATATATGCGAATTTTAGATTTTAAATTTAAATTTAAAGTATGTGTCAGTATATATAGAATATTGATTCCTTTATTGTTTACAACGAAAAGTAGTAGAATCTCAAATTTCAGTACAGTGATGCGAATTAGATTGGTTTGATGTGCGGGCGTAAATGGGGAGTCGAGCGCCTATACGATGGATTGCTCTCACACGTGGTTAACAACTGCTTCCACACACAAAATATGATGGGGATTCCGCACAAAGTCTTAACCTCACAATTCATAAGCTCACTATAGTTGGTGATGGGGAAACGCCCCTGCAAATCGCATGTCCAATTGCTGCGGAGGAGCGTCCACTCCACGTTCAGAGTATATCAAAAAAAAAAAAAAAAAGGAAGAGATAAAGAGTTATGGTTGTGATTTGCTCATAAATGCGTCATCATTAGTATGAAATTTTGTGGAGACAACTTCAATTTAAGATAATAATCACACATCTTTCAATTTTTTGAGCTACTATTTAAAACGTTTTAAGAGAGAGAATTAATTCAGATGCCCTGTTCAATTCAATCTTCTCTTTGACTTTGTTTTCCAAATTTACATATTATTATCATTCTGCATAAGCCACTAGTAAGTTTGATCAAGCTTAATGCACGATTTTTCTAGTCAACATATGTAAAAATAAGTTAAACAAATTTCCAATTTTCGAATATTATATACACTACATTGATTACTCACTCTTAATAACAAATTTTGGTTTCGGTAACCGCTATAGAAAATGTTCAATAATTGAACAAAACACGTTTTTAACAAAAGTGACAATTTTTGCGTCGAAGTGGTGAGGGGTGCTCTCAAGTCTAGTCGAGTTCTAGTGGCACCCAACTCGAGCTCAAACTCGAAGAATAAGGGTACTACTCAAGTTTGAATTCGAGTTCGATCGAGCAGTGATATCTAAACTCGAGATCGACTCGATGTAGTTGTGATACTGCTCGAGCTCGATTCGTTAAGATTCGATAAAAGTAACGAGTCTTAACGAGCTCGATGCTCAATTAAAGCTCGTCCGAACTTGAAAGTAATTATTACTGTATATAATTACAATATTATCTTTTTGCCATTAAAGAATTTCACAAAGCATACAAGATATCGTGTAATTTCTCTGCTCCCTCTGTCCCATTGAAAGTGTTATACTTTTCATTTTGGGATGTCCCAAAACATTTGTTATGTTATAAAAAAGTCAAAGCACCTTTTAATTTCACTTTCCAATATAACCCTTTTTTCTAATCATATGTATGTTACCATTCAAATTTAAAATTTGAATTTATGGGAGTAAAATTAAAAAAAGAAGCACAAATATTACAATCAAACCACTATTTTTAAAAAGTTGAATTTCCCAAATATGACTAAATAATTGGAACGACGGGAGTAAATTATATACCCTTATTGGTCATTTCATAATCATAATTAATATATTGTATAAATAATAAGAAATACTCGAGCTATTCGACGAGCACTCGAGTAACACATAATAATGCTCGAAACTCAACTTGTTTTCTTTGTCGAGTAATTTGAACTCGAATTCGAATTCGATCAATCCGAGTATCTCGCGAGCGAGCGGCCCGCGAGCCATCAGCCATTCAGTGACAATTTTCAACATATATAGAATAAGAGCGAGTGGGGGTTTTGGTCTGAGGCTCTTTTCATCGGCCTGAGGCTCATTTTTTTTCGTCGGCCCTCGTGCTCCTCGCGTGCCAGGCTTTTTTTCGTCGGCCCTCGTGCTACTCACGCCACTCTCCATTCCTTTTCTCTCCTCCTTTTTCCATTGTCTTCTTTTCAACCCTAAACCTCAGCCGCTTTCTTTCTTCTCCCTACTCTCCATTTCTTCCTCCTTTTTCCTTTGTTTCCTTTCAACCCTAAACCGCAGCTCCAGCTAGGCAGAATTCCAACAAAAAATTCTCTCATATCCCTCCAGGCCGCAACTCCAGCCCACTTATACCCTCTCCTCTACAAAGAAGTTGTCAATCACCTCTCTCTCCTTCTCCGATCAACTGCAAAGCTAAAGTTTCCTGGATTCTCGCTTAAATTTTAGAAAATTTTTGGGCAATTCTTCTCCATTTCCCACAAAAAAAAAAAACATGATTTCAATCAGATATCCATGGCCATGATGTAAGCATTTCTGATTTTGTTCTGCTTTTTTAAGGTATTGCCTCCATTGTTCTGTTTCATGCTTTTTGTTTTTTTTTGTGCTATTTTCCCAGTTATTTTTTAGCTTCTGGTGGAAAGAAAAGGGGGCGTTTCTTACTGTTTTTTTTGCTTCTTGTTGTAACAAGTAAATAATGACTTCTTGTTAGAATTTATTGCTGGTTTGATTTTCCTTCGGCTTTTTTCCCCTTTTTGTTGGAACTTCTTGTATATGGTTTATCGAATGAGTTTTTGTACAGATTTTGTCTTTCTTGTTCGATGGTTTTTCTGAAAATGTATTTTTTACCTTTTTCTTGCTTATGTGGATTTTTAAGGCCAACTATATGTTTTGTTGGTGTTCGTGGTCCTTTTTTTTTTTGGTAGTTCGATGTTGCCTTTTATGAGATTTTTTTTCCTTCGAAAGTAGTCTTTGTTTTTTGTATCTGTTTGTTGTCTTATTTCTTTGTATATTTTTTTTGAAAATGTATTTTTTACCTTTTTTTTGCTTATGTGGATTTTTAAGGCCAACTATATGTTTTGTTGGTGTCCGTGGTGCTTTTTTTTTTTGTAGTTGGATGTTTCCTTTTATAAGATTTTTCTTCCTTCGAAAGTGGTCTTTGTTTTTTGTATCTGTTTGTTTTCTTATTTTTTTGTCAATGTATATTTTCTTTGAATTTATTTTTTATTCTCTGTTTTTTGTAGCTTTCTGTTTTTCTTTTTTCCAGGTTTCTGCTTTGTATTTTATTATTTATCTTGATATTTTGTAAGATAGTTATCCTATAAGTTCGTGAATTAGATCGATGGAATTCTGTTTGCTATATTTTATATTTAAAATCAAAAAGTGCTTCTGAATTCATCTTATCTTTTAATTATATAATATAAAAAATTTTGTCTTTGTTGATTCAATAACTTAATCCTTGAATAAAAGACCTTTTATAAGTGATCACAGTGCACCAAAAATAAATAGGATAGGCTTGGCTGTAGATGAATTAATGTTATGATAATTTAGCTGGACAATAACTTGGAGGGATTGAAGAGGAATACTGCTGCAAGTTCATACACATTAAGAATGCTCCATTACTGGGAAGAACCTGTGAATGTGTTCCATTTAGTAGTTTTCTTTTTCTGTAGGCTATTATTAATCCCTTGGAGCTAGCAATGGAAGCACTCAAAGAGATCCAATTATGGTTCTATAAAGATTTCCCTCCTCATCCTAAGGAACAAGTTTATGGATTTGCAACACCATCAACAATGAAACCAACTCAATGGTCTTGTAAGTCTTGATCACATTGTGGAAGAACTCGGACAAGTGTGATATTTGACTTGTCATAAGCAGCCAATCCAATTCCATTTTTCTGAATAAGCATTTTATATTACAGATCCAGGTGGTGGAATTAACCAAATCCAGCTGAATGTACAGTTTCAGGGGATGTTAGGTACATATTTCTTTATATATTCTTGTTTAGGATCTTGAACTTCTAAACCCTTCTAACAATGCCTCTTTACTTTTGCAGGTTGACTCCATTTTACAGGTGGAAATTTTTTCCTTTTTTCTCCTTACTAAATTGTGGATGATTTAATTTATCAGATTATGATATTTCACAATTAATTCCTTTGCCTTCTTCATTTTTATGTTTTAGCCTTAAACTAATTATCTTCCTATACTTAGTCTGCTGTAGCTTTACCAGTTGAGTTTAGAAGGATATTCAGGTAACAATTCAAAAGTTTGACAGTATATATTATTCACTCCTCAACAGTGTATCAGATGTGCTGAAGAAGTTACAGGAGTATGTAGAAGACATAAATGAAAATATTGAGAAGCTTGATACTAGGGACCCTGTTTCAAAATATGTGCTACCAGATGAAAACCTAAGGGGAAGGTATGCCTTTGTCGACTGCTTTGTTTAGTAGAAGCATGCTGAGTGGTTGTTGCTTTCACTTTAAATTTGGTAGGAATGAAAAAGGGGATTGTAGTTTGTCAAATTGAAAATCATTTATCCACTAATTCAAGAAAATTTTGATATACAGAGAAGAAGTATGCATAAGGTAATTACACATCCTAAGATTATAAACACTGCAAGAAACCATATTAGGCCCAACAGTCAACAATGTAATGCAAAAGTTTTTTGTAAATTGACAGAAAAGTTAAAACTGTCCCTGGATACAATCTATGAATATGGGATAAATTCTACATTTTAGATCTTGAACTAAGACTTCTCTGTTGTAAATGGTCTTTCATTATACTCAAAGCCACATGCTTCATCTGAGACTAGGAGGGATCACAGAACCAAAGCTCCCTTATTTTCTACAGTTTCTACTTCTTATCTTTCCACTTTCCAGAAGTTTAATTGAGTATGCTCTTTCAAAGTTCAAATAAACAAAAAAGAAAGTCCCACATCTTTCTTGCAAACTGGAAAGCATTTCATCGAAGGATATTTAGGTTTGGGCTTCCTGTCATAGACATGCTTCATCACGTTGGGGTTCTCTTTTATCTTTTTCCTTGGGAGTTGGAATGGGCAGCACTGATGGCAAACAACATAAGGGAAAAAAATGCCGATGTCATGAGAACTTCTGTTTCCACATAGGGGATGGAACAGCCTTCCACTAATAAAGACATTCCTTGATCAAGTATTTATGTTGTGAATTGCATTGCACCCTGAGGTTATAATTTCAAGCATGGAAGTAGGGTGATGGTCCTATGGAATCAGTTTTCTTTGCATATCAGTACGGTACTCATTGTGTAATATTCAGTTTTACAATTTATTTACCCTCATAATCACACTAAGTTACAACGAGGCAAATTCTGGAGTTGCTTGCAACCTTCAATCCCCTGGTTTCCATGTCCTATGTAAAATGACTGAAGAGGCAGTGGTGCATGTAAAGCCCTATTCTATTACTGGTAGTTTGCCACTTATTAGAGAATTGCAGGTACAATGAATTTGCTTGTCATAAGACTCAAATCTTTTGGCATCCTTCTAACTTTGTTATTTGGCAGGATGAGGGCTTTGATGTCCAAACTGCAGGCTATGCTAAGATTCTTCCATATCCTACCACTTTTTTATTTAAATAATATAAGCTTATAGCTGTATGCTTCTGATAGTATTTTGTGAAAAAGATGTTTTGGTCTGCATTAGGATTTTTCCCAGAGCTTGGTTGCTTGAATCCTTTCTTGAGCATGTTACTTGCCAGTTATACCATTCTTCTTATCTTAGAAGGAACTCAATGAAAGCATGTTAAGATTCTGTCTTCCTGATAATTATTTCTTCTATATGGCTAACACCTAACCTGGTTGACGTCTTCTATACCCATTCTGATGCAAAAGATATATATGCTGCTGTCAATTTTGGCTACACCAAAACAGATGGATTAATGGATTTTGCTCTTTTCATAAACATGCAGGCTTGATGGCTACATACCATGCCAAGAATGAGTACTGCCTTCTAACTGACTTGTGCCAGGGCTATCATGTGCCTTGGCTATCAAGTACCAAGGCCTTGGCTATCATGTGCCCCTTGTGCCCATGTCATGATAATAATAACGAATAAAATTCATGACTTTCATTATTGATGTGAATGTCAGATGATGGAATAGTGGTAAAGGTGAGGTTATTTTCTTTTAATGTGTAGGAAGTTCCACGAATGGTTGGTGGGCTTGTTAAGACTATATTTTCTTGCATGTGGGATATTCTTTTGTATATTTTCTAGCATGTAGGATATTCTTTTGTGACTTGTGAGAAAGTCATGGTAATTGTTATGTTTCATATGAATAGTTTCCATATTTTAGTTATTCCTATCTGACACATATGGCTCACTCATTGCCAAGTCTTGGAAATTTTTTGCATGGGAGCACCATTGATGGTAATAAATGGAAAAAAAATAACAATTATAGGTGCAGAAATGGTATAATGGTAAGGTTTCTTACACAAATTGAAAAAAAATGAAAGAAAATGATAGGGATGAAAAAATATAAAGGACTTTATGAACTTTGTGTTTCTATAGCCATTTGATATTCACACACAGATTATTGCTTCATTTTGAAACAGGTTGCAAAGGAGGGAATTCCACTGCCTCCAGATAGAATGTTATGCCCTTTGCATTCACAAAAAGCGTGTAAACCCATCAGCTGTAGCTGTTTCAGGATTTGTCTTTTGTTATTCTTACATATTTAAATAAGTCTCTTAGGTTTGTTTCTCCATACTTTTGTATTGATCATGGTAAAATTGCAGAACTACTGCCAAATATTGTTTCTAAGTGATGCTTTCTCTTATGTCACATTTCAGGAAGCTTTTATCATTTTTCTATATAGTGTACGCTAAACTTAAACAGTAAATTGTACACTGTAGCCAGAAATTCAATTTTGCAACTAATTCTTTTGTTTAATCATACTAGCAGTTGCTTGTTACCCCAGTTCAGTTACATGAGATTTGCCATTTTTAGTTACAATTTGATATTGTTTTGAGTTGCTGATTGGCTGGGATGCTAGGCTATCTAGATCCATGTCTGTCTTTGTTGTTGTAAACTACTGCAGTATCTCTGATGAAAAATTATCTGAGTGTTCTCTCTTTTGGTCAAAATTTTCTGTAGTAGGATATTTTGTCGTATATCATTTACTTTTAAGTTCCAATTCTTTTATGAACAGGACTGTTAGGTCCTTTTCTTTTTCTTCCTTTTTTGGTCGAATTAATGAATGGAAGATTGTAATCGCATGAATATTTTACATTGTGATATCTACTCAAGTTAATGCATTCTAAGAGCATTTGCCAATCTTTGGGCTGACCATCCTTTGTTGTTGTTGTATTCAATCGAAAAGGCATCGAAAAAATGTATCCATGGCATTTTAACTTTCAGCTTCAGCTCAATTAGGCCATAATTAATCACACGCATTTCTGTAATGTATCAATGATCTGGCATTTTAATATATCAGTACTTTTCGATGTTTTAATGCTTCTGTTCATATGCAATGTAAGATTATGCTCTATTTTCCCCAGTAGTATCTTCTTCAAAAAATGTATCTATCTTTGCTACAACTATTTATGCGGCAATGGATTAATTTTAATTGCTTTCATTTACTTTTTGCAAGTTCATCAGAAGGCAGAGGTTATGAATCCAAAAAGGTATAGCATCAGCTTATAAAGTTTCAGCCTGCAAGCTACTAAGTTTCTGTTTATAGTTTTTGCTTTTCGTATCCAGTTCACTAGCCAGTTACATTATCAGAATCGTTGCCCTGTTCATGTAACGTAATGGATTTGAAGTCTTTGCATTACCTTGAAGTTTATAGCACTTTGGAAACAGTAATTTTTTTGATTATCCGCACCAAAAAATCAATGTTCTTTTCCAAATTTTACAGCTAAAGCAATAATTAGAAATACTGAAGTACTTTGTTCCCAAAGAATTATAAACAAAAAAAAAGTATTTTTAAACCTTATTAACTGATATTGAATCAGTAAGTGAGCTTATCTTCAAGCTTGGATTAGTTATAGAATTCAAGCCAAAAAAATTTAACAAGGTCCAACTTTGACTTTGTTATCCCTCTATGATTTTTGTTTTTGACAAGGGTAAAAAATCTAAGCACATTCATTTCAAATCTTGCCAATAAATGTTATACAAACCCTTAAGACTTTGAGTATTGATTCAAATTTAAAGGACTAATTCCGTTGTGCATTCGCCTAATAACGTATACTCGATTCTAATTTTCCATCTTAAATTTCAATTTTGAACATATTGCACTATAAACTCTTGGATCTAATCCATTTGAATCCAGTCTAAGGAGTTTCTTATCTTACCAACGTCATTATTTGAGGAATAATTCAATTTGCTAAAGCTTTTAAAATTAAGCTTATTCATTATTGAATCAAACTCAAATATAATTTTATTAATTCAAACTTAAGTAGCTTGACATTTTTTACGCAAATCTGAAATTAGCATAAGATTGGGTTGAACTTAAAAATTTACACACTCAAAATGTTATTCATTTCGGTTTCATTAGTTAGTGATCCTCTTAAATGAACTCTTATTCAACCGTTCTCAATTTGAATATCAAGTAAATTGATTTTCTCTTTTAACTCTAAATTTAGATACAAAAAAAAAAAAAAAATTTGCATACCATGCTGGATAAAAGAACAATGCACCGAAATTTAATTGCTCCCTTAATCTACATATTTGACAGATTATTCCAGTCTCTTAAATAATGTATGCTTTGCACACTCCATGTTCATCTTCTAACGATTAGTGTAATCAAACTTATAATTTCAACATTTTTTTTAAATTCGATTGGGAACACAAAGCACTATTACCCACGCATATTTAGCAAATTTGGCAGGGCATATTGTCTTTAATTACCTACGCGCATCGCGCGTTTTATACCTCCTAGTTTGGTTAAAAGAGTGACTACTCTTCGTCCTATTCCTCTACCAAATTCCTGCCATAAAAATTTGTAAAAGCAAAAGCAAAATGAAAAGTTGTTAAATCAATAAAAATATATATATCCTTAAAAAAAAACAAAAAAAAAATTACTGTTGACGTATCCATTAGATTAAGAGTTACGAATAGCTAATTATAGCTTGGACCTTCTATTATTTGTAGTAGTTGTTATAGAGTTCTTGTCCCTCTCCCCGCCTAACTTTTCTATTGCCATTCTACCTTCCATCCATCTCCTCCACCCCGAAAACTCAAAATTCCAATTCTCCCTCATCTCTCTTTCCTTCCCCATTTCTTTCCTGCAATCTACATATAGACACATAGCATTTGTGCCTGTATTTCTATCCATTCAAGAAAGAAAAATCCGATTCCAAATACAGTTCAGCAGTAAGAGAGAAAGAAGCCAAGCCATATAAGGCAGGGACCGGAACAACAGAGTGTTAAACCAAAACGATGGCAGATAGAGTATACCCGGCAGCCAAGGCCGCTGCCAACGGCACCACTACCACCGCTGCAGCCGTGAACCCAACATTTCCACCCACCAAAGGCCAGCTCTATAATAACACCACGCGCCCTGTCTACCGCCCCCAATCACTCAGCAAGCGTCGCCACAGCCGCAGCTGCTGCTGTTCCTGCTGCCTCTGGACAACCCTCTTCATCATCCTCATCCTTGTCCTCGTCGCCGTAGCCGGGGCCGTCTTCTGGGTTATCTACCGTCCCCACCGCCCCAACTTCAGCGTCTCCTCCCTTCAACTGTCCCACTTCAACCTCACCTCCACTGGGGTCAACTCCAAATTCAACTTCACGCTCGTTGCCCGCAACCCCAATAAGAAAATCAAGTTCTTTTACGATCCCATCAATGTTTCCGTACTCTCCGACGGGGTTGACATTGGTGATGGATCCTTCCCAAGTTTCGAACACGGGACTAAGAATACTACCACTTTAAAAACTGTCATCTCCAGCTCAGGTCAAAGTTTGGACGCTACACAGATTTCTACGTTAAAATCTGATTTAAAGAATCAGAACGGCGGCTTGCCCTTGAAAGTTCAGCTGAATACTAAGGTGAAAGTGAAGGTTGGAGGGTTGAAAACAAAGAAAGTTGGAATAAAGGTCACCTGTGAAGGGATCAAGCTTGCCGTTCCCACCGGAAAGGCGCCAACCACCGCGACTACATCCAATATCCAGTGTAAGGTTGACCTTCGAATCAAGATCTGGAAATGGACGGTCTAAGCTCAAAGAGATTTCTTGGGAGTTAGCATTTACAAAAAAAGTTTTGTTAATTTTCTATTTTGTGGTTTGCTACAGCTTTTTTTTTTTTTTTTTAGTAGTTCGTTGATTTTTTTTTTTGGGTTTGTGGGTATATGGTTTGTTTCTATTAGGGAATAGTTTTTTTTTTTTTTGTTGTTGCACATCTATGTTGGAAATAGGGTTTGTTTTTAATTTGTTTGATAGAAAAGGGTAATTGCTAGTGTTTGTGAAATTAATCTCAAAAACTGATATGTGATTTTGATTGTGCCAATGTCTTTTTTCTTTTATTGGCAATTATGGATTTCAAAAGATGATCAAATTTGTAGCTGCAAAGAAAGGGCCAAATTTGTACCCTCATTTCCAAATGTAGTGTAGGGGGACGACATATTTTGAATATGGATTCTACAAATTGAATGGTAACTCAAAATTACGCAAAGGAGCACCCTTAGAATATATATATATATATATATATATATATATATATATATATATATAACTTTTTACAACTAATAACTGGTGCTTAAACATTTTTTGGAAGTATCTTGCAAAATTTACTTCACAAAGGAATAACAGAATATCATTTCTAAATTTCCATATCCCAAAAGATTATAATTCGTGCAAGCAATTTCGTTAATCCGTTATTTCATCATTATTGAAACGAAGAAACAGAAAGGAAGGGATTAGAATTTTAGGCTTAGTCATGCCCCCAAAACGAACTACGAAATTTTAATGAAACCCGCTACCTGCTTAAGTATAGTTTAACCTCTAAACTTGTAGTATCATTTCCACACAAAAAATTCAATAGGTAATTTATATCCATTTTATTACGGTAGCCCAAATCATTGATTATCGTTTTGAGATCATCATCAATGTCTTTTTCATCTAAAGGATCATTTAAGTTCTCTGAGGCTATTCCTTCCACAGAACGAATTTTGCAATGTCGAAAACAATTTACTATTGTCTTTAGATGCAGGAACATCCGTTGTCTAAGCTGAGATTGCAAGATTGATTGTGCATGGTCCCAAGATGGATGCCTCTTGATTATTTAAAACTTCTTAGACTTTGTATAGTTTTCAAGTTATTAATTTACAGAGGTTTCACTATATATATATATATATTTAAGAAGGTTAATGGGATCAAAATGAGCCAGCACTCAGCTGGTAGGCCGGAAATTGCTTTCTGTCGGTGGAGTAAAGAAATGCAAGCTCAATTTACCCCACAAAAAAGAAAAGAAAAAAAAAGAAGAAAAGAAAGAAACGAAGAAAACAATAAGCATATGCTCATAAAATAATTTCTGGTTGGACATCAGACGTGAGAGTGGCCCCCCCCCCTCTCCCAAAGACAATTCTAGACAATTCTTCCATGGTGATCCATGATAAGTATGATTTATTGACCAAACCAAATGGGTTTCTGTCATACAGTCTGCTACTTGTTAGTTAACGTGTGTCCGAAGAAGGAAGTTGAAACATAAAAGGAAAACAAGAAGAGACCCCACCATGCAAAATTCTATGCCTACCTAGTCTTTACCCGAGCTGTTAATTGAACCGAGTATTTGGCTGTCAAGCTCGACTCGAGCTTAACTCGAATCAAGCTCGGATTCGGCTCATCAAACGAGCCGAGCTCGAGCTCATGCAAATTAACCCCAATAAAAATCTATAATTTTCAATTTTTATATTTTTGAATTGTGAAATGACATATATACCCTTTCTTGTCGAGCCTAATCGAGCTACTCGGATAACAAACGAGTCGAGCTTACTCGACTTGTTAATTAAATGAGCATATCTCGAGTTCGAGCTCGACTCGTTTACCACAATTAACGAGTCGAACTTGAGCCTTATCGAGTCGAGTTCAATCGAGCTTTCGAGCTGCTCGTTAATTGGTCATTAATTGGCATCTGAAGAAGCATGAGCAAAGACATGAATGATGGGGATAAGGTTAGCAAATGTTATTACACGAACATAAATATTATTCATTCATTCGTATTATTATTCCTTGATGATAAGCTGAGCCTATGATTGGTCATTAATATGTGCTATGGCTTAGATAATACAGCAAGCACACATTACTTGCTCTCTGGGGCTTGGGTGCCTCCAGCTAATTGCGGTGGAGCCACGGTTTAGTCTTTGTCAACTTTGCAGTGTTTCTTTATTTCTTTTTCTCCAATCATGGAGCACTATCATTTTTTATTCTTACGTTGATTTTTCTGATTTAAAATCGTGATGTTGATTCTTCAGGGAATTTGCCCCTAGGCCATATGTGGGATGCGACAAGGTTGAGAATCCTGTTATTTCAGGTCGATTTTTGCGAAAATTTGAGATAAAAAAAAAAAAAACCATCGGAGCATCAGCACCGTCGTAAGCTCCACAACACTGACTAAACGTTCTCAGTATGTACATTTATGCTTTGTGGTACCCCCTAATGCTACTCAAAAACGAAGGGTGCTTTTGCATTGGAGTAGAGCCAGGATTCAGCAGGCAAAACAGACTGTGTCCTGAAAGATGTTAAGAGTATGCAGAGTTGCAAAAATTGGATTTTTTTTTTCTTTTCCAAGATTGAAATCCTAAGGGGTTAGTGCTTGACCGATCGATTTTTGTATATTTTGTTTCCTAGCAACACGCGAGAAGAGCTTGCCGCCCCTTGGTCTTCAATGCTGCTGGATTCCATCTTCTGTAGTGTGGCAATATGCCGGTCAAACGATCATGCATATTCCAAATGTAGTGAATCAAAGAAAGCCAGCATCAGCAACAGGGACAAAAAGCTCTCTCGTAAGTTCAACATCCACTAGATTTGGTAAATTCAGCTTTATTCCTCCAACATTTCGCCAAGCATTTCCACACTTCTCTTGCTCATGTCACCGCTTCTTAACAGCGTTGTAAGAAATCTTGGATACATGGCAGGATATTCCAAGCCACTGGGCATATCCTGCTCAACATGGAAACTAATAAGTCATCCTCCAATACAGAATCCAATTTTAAGCTGAAAATCAAAGTTGATTGATCGTGTAAGCATCCTACCACTAGTTCATTGTTCACTTATTTTTCCACGCAAAGAGAATTATCTTATGTAATTTTACAAATCCTAGAACAAAATGCTTGCATAACCACAAAACCAACTCAGCAAAGCCAGCTTAGAGACCCAACAAGGTGCTAGAAAGAAGAAAGTTTCATGCACCATTCAATAGAGCATAAATCCAAAATTGCTCGCACCAGATGTGATAAGTTAATAACCGAGTTAATAGAACATAAATCAAGTTAATAAGTTCTTTTTCCTCTTGAAATTTGCACCACATTTTCCAGATATTACAGTCAGCAAAATATTTTATGGGGGAGAAAAAAATATAGTCTTAATTCTCTGCAAAAGGAATAGAAGATCAAAACAAAAAGTCTAAGATGTTTCATATAGATTGCCCAATGCGCATACATGATCACAACTAACATCTTTTCCAAGCCTAACAATCTAGCATAACCACATTTTTTTAGTTAAATAAGAGGATTAGAGAGCATATATGACAAACCACTGAGTGAAAGTCGCCATGTGACCCAACATTTGCTGCTTCGGGCTCCATTGCCACCTGCAGTATACAAAAAGTATATCAGACAGGAGTTCATTAAACAGTAGACAATTTGACAAACATGAAAAGCCAATTAAAAGTGGAGATAGAGAATAACTAACCTTCCCTTTCCTATTAGAATTGCTGACTTCACTTTCTCTTTCTTTTCCAGAATGTGCTCTCTTAGAGCTTTTATTCGTCCGCGTCACCATATTACCTCGCACCTCCCCTACATCCATTGCAATATCACCTTGATTTGCTTCCTCAGTACCATGAATTGCTAGTGCTGTTGAGGTGCCTGTCCTCAAGTTATTGTCAGCAGAGTTACTCACACTTGTACATTGTCTTTGAGCTTCTCTTATGGCACCAACTGCAATGTTATAACTCTCTTGAGACAATGACCCTTCTTCCCCCAATATTATGGCTCGTCGACACAGGTCATTGTATCGACGGACCTTATTCTGTACCTCATCCAATCTCTCGCTAATAGAATGCCTGCTTGTGGCAGCATTTGTCCACCTCTGCAATATATATTTGGATGGGATGGTAAAAACACCTGACATTTGGAGAACCACAATGGCATGCCTACATAGGTAGCCTCTGTATTGAAATGAGCGGCACGAGCAATATATTTCTGATTTCTGTTCACTCCACTCCACCATAAAATCCTCATTATTTTCAAAATCTTTGACAGCATATGTTATACTGGACTCATCTTCTTTTTCTTTTTTGAGATGACATGCAGCTGCTCCCAACACCTCCACTTGAAACTTCTTGAATATTTCATGAGTATATACAAGAGACATTTGTTTCTCAAAAGGTGAAGGAGATTTCAACTCGGGTGTTTCATGCCAAGCATCAAAATTAGCTTTAGCTTCCTCTTCATACCTGTCTTCCAGGACTAACTGATATTGTCTGACAAATTCTTTCAAAGAAGTTTCAGCAAGTACATATTTATCAAAGAAAGAGCTCGGGCTCTCAGATCTTGAAGCCACAGACAAACCAGAAAAAGAGAAATCCCTCATGAAAGTAGGCACCCATAGTCTGCGATTTTCATAGAGTGAGTGCATCCACTGATCATCCCGAAGATTGAATCTTTCAACCAACTTCCACCACCTCTTTTCAAATTGCTCCTCAGTCCATGACTTGTGTATACATTTCCTAAATTTTGCCAAAAAGGTTTCATGCCAAAGGTTAAGATATTGAGGTTGTCTGGGAATCTTATCCAATGCTTGCCACAGGCTAAAATAGTGACGCGTATCAGGAAAGACAGCTGCAACAGCTGCTTTCATTGAATGGTTCTGATCAGTCAGTAGAACTTGCGGTCCATGGCCCCCCATTGCCAGGCACCATGTTTGCATCAACCAAGCGAATGTAAACACAGTTTCATCTGCAATCAATGCACAACCGAGCAATATGGGCTGGATATGATGGTTCACTCCAATAAAAAGAACTAAAGGGAGCTTATACTTGTTTGAGAAATATGT